TACACACACACACACACACACACACACACACACACACACAAACACACACACACACACACACACACACACACACACACACACACACACACACACACACACACACAAACACTGCCACCAATCACAAGAGGTGGGAAGAGGAGGAGGGAGGGAGGGAGGGAGGAGGAGGGATGGAGGAGGGAGGAGGAGGAGGGAAGGAGGAGGAAGGAGTGGGGAGAGGAGGGAGGAGGGGACAAAGCAGACTGACGGAAGGTGGGAAGGAGGAAGAGAAAGGGAGGGAGAAAGGGAGGAAGCCGGAGGGAGGAGGAGGGCTTGTTGACAATGATAAAACAGCCTTACCTTCATTAATCTTAACCTCAGGTACACGTGTGCTACCGAGAGATGTGGGAGGGGAGGGTGAATAGGAGGAGGAAGGTTAGATAGGAGAGGAAGGGGTGGGAGAAACAGGTAAGAGGGCAGGGGGGAAGGGAGGATTGTGTGGGGTAGGGAGTTCTGAGTAATTAAAAGTTGGGGAGTAGCAGGGGGGTAGGAGGGGGTGGGAATGGGAGAGGGAGGGGATGTGGATAGGTGGAAGAGATTAAAAATGTGAGGTAAGGCCACTGTGTGCGTGTGTGTGTGTGTGTGTGTGTGTGTGTGTGAAGGACTAAAGCGCCATCTATGTACACTGGTGGGGACTACAACCAATCATGACGTAATCACCGTCCTAGCCAATTAAAAGTTTACTATACTTGTTAGCCAATCACAACTTCTGTTACACTCTCCATCCACTTATCTGCTTGTCCTGGTTGCTGAATATCGAAATCAAATACTTCCCAGTGACTGTAGTTGTTTGTGAAGTAAATACGAAATATAATTATGTAGAGTTGTTTGTGTTCAGTGTTGATTATTTCTTTGTTTTTCTACTTATTAAATTTTTTTATAAATGCAGACAATTTATATAATAATAATAATAATAATAATAATAATAATAATAATAATAATAATAATAATAATAATAATAATAATAATAATAATAGGAGGAACAGACATACAGACAGACAGCCAGACAACAGACAGAGGAGGAACAGACAGAGAGACAAACATACAAACAAACAGAAAAAGACAGACAGACAGACAGACAGACAGACAGACAGACAGACAGACAGAGTATCACACAGACGGAGAAACGGAGAAATAGACGGAGAACATCACTGTGGGGTAGGCGGCGCTGAAGGAGTGGTAAGTACAGCAGGTGCACTATATCTCTGGTCCCAGGAAGGTGATGGAGTGGCAACAAGTAGGCCTACCTTATCTACCTTCTGTGTATAATTAAAATCCAGAATGAATGGGGAGGAGTAGGCGGAGTAGAGGAGGAGGAGGGGGGGAGTAGGAGGGTGAGGAGGAATAGGAGGGGAAGGGGGAGAGGGGAGAATGGGAAGGAGGAGTAAGAGGAGGAGGAGAAGTAGATGTAAGAGGAGGGAAGAAGTAGGAATAAGAGGAGGAGGAGTAGGAGGAGTAGAAGTAAGAGTAGGAGGAGGAATAACAGTAGGAAGAAGAGTAAGGGTAGGAGAAATAGAAGTAGAAGGAAGAGGATTAGGAGGAGGAGAATAGGTAGTAAGAGGAGGAAGAGGAGTAAGAGGCGGAAAGGAGGAGGAGGAGAGAGATGAATGGTAGGAACAGTAGAAAAAAAAACGAATTTGAGATAAGGATTAAAATACGAGAGGATAAACGAAGGAAATATAGGATAGAGAAGGATATAGGATAGGGGGATAGGAGGAATGCCCAACAACACAAAGATTATGATACTTTACACAACACGGACGGACGGACGGAAACACGCACAGACGGACAGAAACACGCACAGACGGACAGAAACACGCATAAACTGACAGAAAAATGGACAAACGGAAGCACGGATGGAGAGAATTACCTAGTCTCTCTTCATCAACCCTGACAGAAGGGGGAGGAGGGATAGGGGCAGGAGAGAAAGGAAGGGGAGGGAGGGAGGGGAGGGGGAGGGGGGCAATTAGAGGATATAAGTGCTTATCATAGAGAGGAACCCACAACAAGTTATTGCCTGAAGGAGGAGAGGGGAAAGGACAATGAGGGGAGAGAAAGGGAATGTGAGGGGAGGTAGGAGAGGGGGAAGGGAGAGGTAGGTAAGGGGAGAAGGGAGAGAGAGAGAAAGGGAGTTTAGGGGAGGTAAAAGTGGTGAGGGAAGAGAAAGGGAGTTTGAGGGGGAAAAAAGAGAGTTTGAGGGGAAGTAGGTGAGAGGAGAAGGGAGAGAAAGGGAATTTGATGGAAGGAAGGAGGGACAATGAAAAGGGAGGAGAGACGTAAAAGGAAAAGCAAGAGAGAGAGAGAGAGAGAGAGAGATTCAGAAAGAAAGAGACCCAAAAAGAAAGAGACAGAGAGAATAGTGATAAAGGCAGTGAGGAGAAGAAGAGGAAGAGGAAGAGGTGTAGGAAGAGTAGGGGGAGGAGGGAGGAAGAGGAGGAGGAGGGTTGAACACAGCGCAGATAAACATAACATAACATTACCATAACAACGTCATATTTCGCTTCCTTTGAATCATATCACCATTAATTGAACCATCCCACGGTCATCCACGGCTTGAGCTGTTGTATTTCTCCGTCTACTGTATTATTTAGGGTGTTGTATTAGGTTGTATCCTGCCTTGGTTGGTGTATTAGACCCTTGAGACTTGTGGATGTTGTATTTCTCTGCTTATTGTATTGTTACGGGTGTTGTATGAGGCTAATTGTTGTATTATGGCAGTTGTATCATTCCTTCTACTTTACCCACGCCCACACCCACGCCCATACGCAACACCCACGCCCGTACACAACACCCACGCCATACGCAACACCCACGCCCGTACACAACACCTACGCCTGTACACAACACCTAGGCCGTACACAACACCTAATACACATCACCTAGGCCGTACACACCTACGCCTGTACACAACACCTAGCCGTACACAACACCTAGGCCTGTACACAACACCTGGGCCCGTACACAACACCTACGCCTGTACACAAGGCGACATTAAGGCGACATCAATGAGGCCAGAGAGAGTTTTACACTCATGGTGTATCTATGAGTGAGAGTGGTAGTGAGAGCAGTCGGGGGGAGGGGTTTTGGGGGGGGAGGGAGGGCTAACTCAGGAAGGGAGTAAGAGCAGTCGGGGAAGGAGAGGAAAATGAGGGAGAGGAGGGTGAAAGCCGGGTGGGGGTGTAAGAGGAAGGGTGAGAGAGAGAGATGGGGGTGATAGATGGAGGTGGGGGAGGGAGGAGAAAGGCCATCTCTCCTTTAACCCTGCAACAGCGTGCTGCCTCAAACACTGTACCTGCTGTACTTAGCTGTTAAACCTTGTTGCTGTACTTGTATTGCTGTTTGTACCTATTGCCTGTATTCCTGCTGTACCTCTATTCTACTGTACCTGTGTTGCAACTGTATTGTTTGCCTGTACTTTTGTTGCTCTGTGTATTGTTGCTGCTACCTTATGTTCCTGTATTGCTGCTGTCCTGTATTGCTGTGTAGCAGCATTGCTGCTGTACCTTTATTGTTGCTGCTTGCCTTATTGTTATTTCTTACTTATTGCCTGTGCTGTACTTGCTTCTGTGTGCCTGTATTGTTCTGCTGTACCTGTATTGCTGCTGCCCTTGTATTCCTGCTGTACCTGTATTGCTGCTGTACCTTTATTGCTGCTGTACCTGTATTGCTGCTGTACCTGTATTGCTGCTGTACCTTTATTGCTGCTGTACCTTTATTGCTGCTGTACCTGTGTGCTGCTGTACCTGTGCTGCTGTACCTGTATGCTGCTGTACCTGTATTCCTGCTGTACCTGTATTGCTGCTGTACCTGTATTCCTGCTGTACCTGTATTGCTGCTGTACCTTTATGCTGCTGTACCTGTATGCTGCTGTACCTGTGTGCTGTACCTTTATTGCTGCTGTACCTTTATTGCTGCTGTACCTGTATGCTGCTGTACCTGTATGCTGCTGTACCTGTGCTGCTGTACCTGTATTCCTGCTGTACCTGTATTGCTGCTGTACCTGTATTCCTGCTGTACCTGTGTTGCTGCTGTACCTGTATTCCTGCTGTACCTGTATTGCTGCTGTACCTGTATTGCTGCTGTACCTGTATTGCTGCTGTACCTGCTTATTGCTGCTGTACCTGTATTCCTACTGTGCCTGTATTGCTGCTGTACCTGTTTGTTGCTGCTTTGCCTGTATTGCTGCTGTACCTGTATTCCTGCTGTACCTGTATTGCTGCTGTACCTGTATGCTGCTCGTACCTGTATTGCTGCTGTGACCTGTATTGCTGCTGTACCTGTATTCCTGCTGTACCTGTATTGCTGCTGTACCTTTATTGCTGCTGTACCTGTGTGCTGCTGTACCTGTATGCTGCTGTACCTGTATTCCTGCTGTACCTGTATTGCTGCTGTACCTGTATTGCTGCTGTACCTGTGTAACACTGTACCTTATTGCTGCTGTACCTATATGTCCCTACTGTACCTGTATGCTGCTGTACCTGTATTGTTGCCTTGTACCTGTATTGCTGCTGTACCTGTATTCCTGCTGTACCTGTATTGCTGCTGTACCTGTATTGCTGCTGTACCTGTATTCCTACTGTACCTTTATTGCTGCTGTACCTTTATTCCTGCTGTACCTGTATTCCTGCTGTACCTGTATTGCTGCTGTACCTGTATTCCTACTGTACCTGTATTCCTACTGTACCTGTATTCCTGCTGTACCTGTATTGCTGCTGTACCTGTATTCCTACTGTACCTGTATTGCTGCTGTACCTGTATTCCTACTGTACCTGTATTCCTGCTGTACCTGTATTCCTGCTGTACCTGTATTCCTGCTGTACCTGTATTCCTACTGTACCTGTATTGCTGCTGTACCTGTATTCCTGCTGTACCTGTATTCCTGCTGTACCTGTATTCCTGCTGTACCCGCTGTTTACTGTACAACTTTGTACTAAAAAATGAACCCCGATCCTAATACACTGCAGTCCCAACCGACCCCAGTCCCAACCGACCCCAGTCCCAACCGACCCCAGTCCCAACCGACCCCAGTACCAACAGACCCCAGTACCCAGAACCCCAGTACAAACAGACCCCAGTACCAGCAGACCCCCAGTCTAACAGACCCCAGTGCCAACAGACCCCCATTCCAACAGACCCAAGTACAAACAGACCCCAGTCCCAACAGACCCCAGGCCCAGTCCTAACAGACCCAGTGCCAGACCCCAGTCCTAACAGACCCCAGTGCCAACAGACCCCCAGTACCAACAGACCCCCAGTTCAACAATTCCCATTACCAACCGACCCCAGTACCAACAGACCCCAGTACCAACAGACCCCAGTACCAACAGACCCCCAGTACCAACAGACCCCGGTACCAACAGACCCCAGTTCCAACAGACCCGTACCAACCGACCCCAGTACCAGCAGACTGGTACCAGACTGAGTACCAGCAGACCCCGGTACAACAGACTTAGTACCAACAGACTCCAGTACCAACAGACCCCGGTACCAAGCAAACCCCCAGTAGTGCCAGACCCCAGTGCCAACAGACCCAAGTGCCAACCAGACCCACAGTATCAACAGACCCACAGTACCAACAGACTCCAGTACCCAACAGACTCCAGTACCAACAGACCCCAGTACCAACAGACCCCAGTATCAACAGACCCCAGTATCAACAGACCCCAGTACCAACAGACCCCAGTATCAACAGACCCCATTACCAACAGACCCCAGTACCAACAGACCCCAGTATCAACAGACCCCAGTACCAACAGACCCCAGTACCAACAGACCCCAGTATCAACAGACCCCATTACCAATATGCCCCAGTCATCATAAACATTATTCCTAACGGTCCCTAAGCTAACCATTAAGATTCGAACCCATAAGTATTTGATCTATTAAGATTCGAACCTAAAAGCCGAGCCCATACGTACTCGAACCCAGTATTCGAACCCATTAGAATTCAGACCCATTAGTATCGGGGCCCAATCATAACAACTAAGGGCCCGTTTAACCAGTCAACACCAGACGCAAGATTAGTGTGGGCCCTTATCTTGACTCTGGTGTGAGAATCTTGCCACAAAACTAACGGCAGCACGAGCAATCACCAGCGCCTGGCTTTGACCTTCCAGCCTGCAATGACACGCTCCTGGAAGCCTCGCCGCACAGACGAACGTTCGCCAGCCTGTTGCCCTAGATGGTGATATATCGTTGTTGTTATTGTTGTTGTTATTATTGTTGTTGTTGTTGTTATTGTTGTTGTTATTGTTGTTGTTGTTGTTGTTATTGTTGTTGTCTTTGTTGTTGTTGTTATTGTTGTTGTTATTGTTGTTGTTGTTGTTGTTATTGTTGTTGTTTTTGTTGTTGTTATTGTTGTTGTTATTGTTGTTGTCTTTGTTCTTGTTATTGTTTTTGTTCTTGTTGTTATTGTTGTTGTCTTTGTTGTTGTTATTGTTGTTGTTCATTGCTGTTGTTTGTGTTATTTATTATTATTTATTGTTATTGTTGTTGTCTTTTGTTCTTGTTATTGTTGTTGTTCTTATTTATTGGCATGTTATTTGTCTTGTTGTTATTATTATTTGTTGTTCATTGTTGCTGTTGTTTGTGTTAAACTAGGCTGTTCCTAATCCAACTGCCCTAATTTTAATCTAATCTGACTTAATCTAACCTACTCCTAACCTGACCTAATACTAGCAATTTAACCTATGTAAAATCTAATCCCAACCACCTCCACCAACCCTTCCCTTCTACCTCACCCTTCCCTCATTCTCTCCCTCCTCTCCTTCTCTCCCCTGCCACCAACCCTTCCCATCTACCTCACCCTTCCCTCATTCTCTCCCTCCTCTCCTTCTCTCCCCTGCCACCAACCCTTCCAATCTACCTCACCCTTCCCATCTACCTCACCCTACCCACCTCCTCTCCCATCTATTCCATCTCTCACTTTTTCGATCACATTCATCTGTCTCTCTTCCACTTTAGTCACGTTTCTCTTTTCACACCAACATCATACCTCCCTTCTCTCTACCTACCCTTACTTCTCCCAATTCCCTACAAGCTCTGTCTCATCCCCTCCCTTCTGTCCTCTCCCCTCCCTCCCTCCCTCCCACAGGCGTCATGTTGTTAGGAGGGGAAAATAGGAGGGGTGGGAGGGGGGGTAGGAGGGAAGGGAGGGACCCATAACTGAAGCACCAGTGTTTGTTTTCAGGAGATGAAAGAACAGAAATAAAAAATGGTATTCCTGGCCAAAGCTGGGAGAGGGAAGCCAGGTGGGAGGGGGGAAGTGGTGGAGGGAGGGAGGGAAGGAATGGTGGAGTGTCTGAGGGAGTGGTGGAAGGAGGGAGGGAGGGAGGGAGGAAGGAAGGAAGGGAGGGAGAGAGTGATGGTGGGTGTGAGGGAAGGAGGGAGGGAAGAAGATAGGGAGGGAAGAAGATAGGGAGGGAAGGAGGGAGGGAGGGAGAGGTGATTGAGTGTAGATATGAATGAATGGAGGAATAAATGACGTATAATAATAAAACTCTGACTAACCAAATAAATGAGGAAGCGAAAAAATAATAAGGAAACGAAAAAAATGCAAAATAAATGAAGAATAAATAAGGAAAATGCAAATAAATTAATAAAGTTATGAATATATGAATAAATAAAATCAAAATAAACATAGAAATTAATAAGAAAATCAGGTTATAATAAATAAATAAATAGATAAATAAATAGACGACGATAAAATTCAATAAAGAAAATAGCGACAAAAAATTAATTCCTTGGAAAGTTTTACGGACAAAAAATGGTTTGGCGAGGCTGTGGTGTCAGCAGGGAGGACCATCTAGTGCAGCCCCACCATAAGCTCTCCTTCCTTCCTTCCTTCCTTCCTTCCTTCCTTCTCCCTATCCTTCCTTCCTTCCTTCCTTCAAACTATCTACCACTTGCTACTTCCCTTCGTCCTCTTTTCATTTTTCCTCTCTCTCCACCCTTTACTAATTCCTTCCCTCCCTTTCCTCTTTCTCCTTCCCTCTCTCCCTCTTTCCTTTCCTTCCTCCCTCCACGTTCCTCTCCATCTACTCCCTTCTTTCCCTCCCTCTTTCCCTCCAGACTCACTATATATAGCACACTCTGCCCTCCCTCCTCCTCCCCTTCCCTCCCCCCTCTCCCCCTCTCCCCCTTCCCTCCCTTGACTACACAAGTACGTCTCTGCCATGTTCCCAAGATTTTGTGTACAGTGTTTTATGTTCGCTACACCTACACTCCCTGGGGTCAGTCACATCATATTTTCCTTTCCTCTCCTACGCCACTGTTCCATTTCAACCATCCCTGTATCCATTTCACCTTTCCCATCTGTCTATTCCTCCCCTCTCCCATCTTTTCAGCTCATAATTCCATCTGTTTTATCTTTCGGGCCAAGGTGGATGAATTTCTCTATCCCAGGTAAATGAAACAAGCGTTCATAGAGCTGACTAACGCTTCTAAAACACCAAACTGACAAAAACAAAAACAAAAAAAATAAAAAAATAAATAACTAACTCACAAAAACAAAAACAATAACAAAAATTACTAACAAAATACTTAAAGGATAAATAAATTAGATATTACTGAAACACTTATGAGGAAAAATTACCTTAGGGAATTAATCTTACTTAAGTGAGGAATTAGAGAACTGATGAAATTAAGAAGAGGAGTGTAATAAATTAACTAAAGAGGAAGGAGGAAAGTATAAATAAAAGTGATAATAAACTAGAATAAATAAAATAGGTGATAAAAGAGGAAATATAACATTAATAATGAAATAGAGAAAGGATGTGTTAATTAATCTGGTAATTATAATCGTTTTTTTAATTAATTGTGCAATAATAAATATATAAATTAACATATAAATAAGATAATATAATAAATCTGATAAAATAAGGAAAATAAAGATAAATCTGAATAAATCGGAGAAATAACAAATAAATAAACAAAAATATAATGAAAAAAACACATTTAATTCAATAATAAATGAATAAAATAAAAAATATATAAAAAAGAATAACTAAATAAACTTGATAAAAAAAGAGAAAATAGGGATAAATAACGATAAACAAAGATAAATAATAAATTACCCAAATAATAAATATTAACCCATATACTTGATAAAGAATAGGAACTGGGATAAAGCTGATAACGAAAGGGAGAGAAGAGAAGGAAGGTGAATAAAGGTCAGACTAATCTCACAGCACGAGAGGGTGACTGGATCCTGGCAGAGGTAGAGAGAGAGAGAGTGTGTGTGTGTGTGTGTGTGTGTGTGTGTGTGTGTGTGTGTCGGTGTTTAAAGAGGAAGGGAAGTCATAGCCCCTGAGATTAATGTGCGTTTAATTCTCTGTGTGTGTGTGTGTGTGTGTGTGTGTGGAATGGTGTACGTTTATGGGGACATGTGTACATTAGTGCGCTTGTTCAGACGTATGTACGTGTGTATGTGCATTGATGTATGTACGTGCGTGTGCGAGTTAGTTTCTTATGCATATTCACATGTGTGTGTATGTGTGTATGTGTATCTGTATCCTTACACCTTTATGCTTGCGAGTGTCTGCATATGTGCATGTGTGTGTACGTCTGTATATGTGCATGTGTGTGTGTGTACGTCTGCGTGTGTACATTCTTTTAAACAATTTATGAGGACCGGCCCTTTGTTTTCTTGTTCAGTAACTTCAGTCCCCAATTCAGCTCACCTGGCAGGAAACTGTACCCCTGTCTTTGTGTTGGCGAGAGTAACACTGTATTGCCCCCCAAACAAAACACCACCTTAGGATATATGGTGAGAAAGAAACGCATAGTAGTCACCCCCTCCTCCCCCCCTCCCCGAGCTATTGTGTGGTGTGTGTTTGTTTGCCTGGGTTGTTTGTTGTTTGTCTGGGTTGTTTGTTGTTTGTTGTTTGTTGTTTGTTTGTTTGCCTGGTTGTTTGTTGGTTTGTCTGGGTTGTTTGTTGGCTTGCTTGTTGTTTGTCTGCTGTTTGTTGCTCTGCTCGTTGTTTGTTGTTTGTTGTTTGTTGTTTGTCTGGGTTGTCTTGTTGTTTGCTCTGGGTTGTTGTTGCTCTTGCCCGTTGTTTGTTGTTTGTTGTTTGTTGTTTGTCTGGGTTGTTTGTTGTTTGTTGTTTGTTGTTTGTTTGTTTATGTTAGTTTTATTGTCGTTATAATAGAACTGATGGTAGATTGTTATTATTATCATTACTATTATTATTATTACTATTATTATCATTACTATTATCATTACTATTATTATTACCATCATCAGCGTTACTACTACTACTACTATTACTATTATTACTGGTTGTTCGTATTATTAAACCCCCGAAGCCTTGTACACAGACTCATCAATCCTAACACGAATAATCTTTGTCAGACAGGTAGAGTGACTGAAAGGTAAATGTTATGTATGTGACAAGTCAGGGTCATTATAGTGTCATAGTGTGAAAGTGAATGATCATTGTAGTGTGAATGTGAATGATTAATGTTGTTAGAATGTGTCTAGATAGTATGACAAGCTTGCAACACACACACACACACACACACACACACACACACACACACACACACGTGGTAAATTACTCCCCTTCCTAACTATGTGAATTTGGGGTCGTGGGTTAGGTTAGGTTAGGGTCATTAGACTTGGATGCCCATTTTAAATTTAACCTGACATTGAGCGTTGGCCAGGAAAGAACTAATTCGATTTTAGCAGAGTAGGTCATAGGTCAGGCTGAAAGGTCACCAGCTCTCAGGGGTGGGTGGGGGGGGGGGTCTATTTCCTAATGACCATCTAGAGTAGTGATCTTACCGATGACCTTTGACCTTTTGCCCATCAGTGCCACTAG